ATCTATTTTAAGTTGATAACAACTTAAGTTTAAAAAAGCTCTACAGGGCTTCCCTGGTGGTGCAGTGGTTGAGAGTCCGCCTGCCGACGCAGGGGACACGGGTTCGTGCCCCAGTCCGGGAAGATTCCACATGCTGCGGAGTGGCTGGGCCCATGAGCCATGGCCACTGAGCCTGCGCGTCCGGAGCTTGTGCTCCACAATGGGAGAGGCCATGACAGTGAGAGGCCCACGTACCGCAAAAAAAAAAAAAAAGCTCTACATTTTTACTCCCCACCACCATGTTTTATCTTTCGTTTGTTGGTTTTGATTTATGGTTTTTTTGGTAAAAATTAGAACTTTATTATATTATAAACATTTCCAGAATATAAACTGATTTTGTATCAAGACTTTTTGAAACGTTTAAAACTGTATGTAACTTAAGCTTATTATATAATGTATGTCATTTTCCACTTTCCAATCTAGAAAATATACTGCAAGTTAGATCTAATGAAGGAAAAAAAAATCAATCTAAACTGCTTCATAGAGAAAACGAATATAAAAACACCCACCCCAAACTAACATCCAATCAAGAAATAGATTCTATAAAGCCTATTAATCCTCCAATTTAAAATAAATGACCTCCCAAGGGAAAAATACTTCCACCATCATAGCAATTTGATGAATAAAAGCAGAGCCACCCTCATTAAGGGAAATTACATTATGTATAAGAAAAATGTAGTAATGACTTTAGGAGCAGAAAAGTAATTTCCATTTTGGAGAGCAAGCACACTAAATGTTTTCTGTTCACTTAGCCTTTGTACCTGTTCACATGAAAAGAGCAATATGAACATGGACATCATAAAACCAAGCTCCTTAACTATTTCTTCAGTTTAACCTTAGGAGAACCAATGCAAGAGCTTCAAAATCCAAGGGCAGACTGGTCCCAAAGCATCTCCTCTTCTGTCCTTTCTTTCCCTTGTTCCTTTTTCTCTTTTCTACGCTTATGTTCTTCTTTCTTAGAGGCTACACCTCAGCTTTTTTTCTCCTTTCGGTTCTTAAGCTTTTCTGTACTGACTCTGACTGTTTCCACCTCTGTTTCTTTGGATGCTCTTGTGTTTGTCTAAATCTATTTCCTCATAAGCTTTCTTCCTCTTATGCTTGGGCCACTCCTCCTCTGGTTTTTCCTGGCCTTCCTCTGGGTATCTTTCTCTCTTCTGATGTATCTGTTTATAACTAGCTTGATGGGCACTGGCACTGTTTTCTGAGGAGAGGTGCCTGTAAACTCCAGATCCTACACTGTATGAGCCACAGTTTTACCCTTGTTGACTAAAGTTCAGGGATACTGGTTTTCCTGAGAAACAGTCCCTGGTGAATTGACAGTAGTTCAGGGAGTCCAGTCTCAGCCTACTGTCATGAGCTGGTAGTCACTGAGGTAAGCGCTTCTCCACTGCTTGTGAAATATTGCACAGTCTTCGGTAGGTCTGGACGGGTTCATGAGGGAGTCTTTGATCAAACATTCTACACCTGGGTCTAGAATTAACCTCTTATTTGTATCCACAGGTTTCCAAATAATCCTCTCTCACCTTTCTGAAACAAGTCTTTGGCTCTAAGCCTCTGGCTTTCTGCACTTTGATATAAACTTCGAGTTCATCTTGAAAAGAGTCAGATGTCTTCCTTGAATACTTCATTAGGTTGACAAGGGATTCTGCTTACCAGGTTGAGAACTTGGTGGAGAAATTTGATCATATTCACCCATTAATTGCTTCAGTTTTTTAGCACGAACTTTCCCCAAATAGTGAGACTGTGCAACAACTGAGGAGCTAAAAACCATGATGCAGAGATTAAAAAATCTATTTTTGTCCAATACTTCACTCCCATTCACCTCATAATGTGAAATCCATTGTGATTCAAATTATGGCACTATTCCTTGTAAGCCTTTAATAAAAGGTATCTGTAAAAGTTCATTCTTTGCTCATTCAATGTGGTATCTTCTCTGAGGCAGGGGTGGCCGTCTACAACTACCGCCTCCCTCCCCACCAACGCCAGCTGGTGGATAGGCCAAGGTGGAGGAGGTAGAGAGGCAGGGACAACCGCTGCCTCTGCCACCACTGAGCAAGCGTGGTGGGAGCAGGAGGTGGAGACCGGACTTCCTGAGAGGAAGTCACCACCACCACCAGCGCCTGACTGGACAGCACCACCGCAAGGCCGCCATAGCTGCAAGGTGCGCCACTGATTTATATTTTTGATGTCACAGTTCTATCCTGTGTATCCATTAACAAATTACTGTAGTTATATTTATTTTGATTTATTTTCCTTTTAAAGTTCTGAAATTTTACATCCTCAATATATACTTTTATAATCAGAAAAAAGTGGTAAATTTATTTTTATAAACACAATTGTACAATAATTCCTGAAAACAACAAACCAGGGATCTTTTCCATCAGAATTAACTGTAATCAAACATACAAACTCACCTATGAAAAATCCTGCACTTTAAGATTTCTTGGTCATAAGATATAACCAAGCTATGAGAAAATAGTTTGCTTTAATTCACTATCTTTAACTATTTTAAAGTAAAAGCATGTAACAGATTTAGTTCCCAAGACTACAAGTCTAATTTGCATGCCTATAGATCTGTACTGTCTAACAGGGTACCCCCTAGCCACATGTGACTATTTATATGTAAACTTATTTAAATGAAATACAATTTTAAGGGACTTCCCTGGTGGTCTAGTGGTTAAGACTCGGAGCTCCCAATGCAGGGGGCCCGGGTTTGATCCCTGGTCAGGGAACTAGTTCCCGCATGCCACAACTAAAAGATCCTGCATGCCACAACTAAAGATACCGCATGCCAAAATTAAAGATTCCGCATGCCACAACGAAGATCCCACATGCGGAAACAAGGAGCCTGCATGCCAGAACTAAGACCCGGCACAACCAACTAAATAAATAAATATTTAAAAAAAAGAAAAATACAATTTTTTTTTTTTTTTTCCTTGCGTTATGCGGGCCTCTCACTGTTGTGGCCTCTCCCATTTGCGGAGCACAGGCTCCGGACGCGCAGGCTCAGTGGCCATGGCTCACGGGCCCAGCCGCTCCGCGGCATGTGGGATCCTCCCGAAACGGGGCACGAACCCGCGTCTCCTGCATCGGCAGGCGGACTCTCAAGCACTGCGCCACCAGGGAAGCCCCGAAAAATACAATTTTAAGTTCAGTTCCTCAGTTACATTAGCCACATTTCAAGTGCTCAAAAGGCATGCAGACACAGAACATTTCTACCAATGCAGACAGTTATTTGCTTGTGCTCCTCTAGACCTTTCCCTTGGAACCCAAAGCAGGCTTAAAATATAGTTCCTGAACTTAGAACAACTTCATAATTCAAAACATTTGTAAGTAAAATTTTTTAAAGTGATTATGAAAGACTATTTATAAAAGTTGAAGATGCCAAATGTATGCCTAAAACTCTAAGAATTTCTTTAAGACATCTCACTCATTTGAAATTATCCAAAGGCAGTCACATCTTCTGAAGTTGCTTTATTATAAGCATAAAAATTCTCACTGTGAAGTAATTCTATCTTGTGAACTATAATAAAAAGAAGCTAGAAAAGTCTGGAAAAAAGAAACCATTTCACAGAAACTGCAGAGTTTAGAGAGATTTCTTTCCGAGCAGTACAATTAGCCAATGACTACTTTCTAATCAGATAAATGTTAAAATATATCAATGATATCTAACAGGACCATTAATGCAATTTCGCTATCACCAAGGGGCACATATATGCATCAGCCAGCATAAGAGTGTAAAAATAACCCATGAGCAGAATATATTAACCAGCTTTTTTACATTTATACCCAGGTTTCTTAAGAAAGTAATTAGGATCTACCAGTAGGAAGAAGAATCAAGAAAAAAGAATTTAAGACACTTAAGGATACTTTCAAATGGAAGAAACGTTTTGCAAACCTCAAACTGAGATGAAGAGATCAGAGGAGAATGGCATTATGGTAATTGCCAAATCTCTATTTACTGCTGTTATCAAACTTTAAAATAAATATGATTTGTCAAAATTACCCATGGATTTTTTTTTTTTTTTTTTTTTGCGGTACACAGGCCTCTCACTGTTGTGGCCTCTCCTGTTGTGGAGCACAGGCTCCAGAGGCGTAGGCTCAGCGGCCATGGCTCACGGGCCCAGCCACTCCGCGGCATGTGGGATCTTCCCAGACCGGGGCACAAACCCGTGTCCCCTGCATCGGCAGGCGGACTCTCAACCACTGCGCCACCAGGGAAGCCCTACACATGGATTTTTACTTTAATGTGTTGTTTTCAATTCTTGGTCACTCCTAGAATGGTTCAATTAAATATTCTTGTTTTTAAATAAAGTTTAATGGAATGCTCTTATAAGAAGGAAAAAAGAAAAGGATATTGGGCTTGTGGGGGGAAGCCTGGGGAATCAAGAGCAAGAAGATGGCCATCATCTTCAGTTACAGTGACAGTTCAATTACCCACCTGGCTCACTTACATTGGGAATGTTAGTGAAGTTATGGTGGTCCGCTGCTTTAAGCATAGTTCAATTTATGGGCAACAGAATGTGTGCATAAAATTAAACTACTACAATATGTATGCAGCCTGACAGCTAATTCTTAAATCTAACTCAAAGTAGTAAGTATCCTAGGTAAAGGTAAGTAACTCATAAATGCTTCAGAGACCATGTATAGATGGTAAATCTAGTAATCACATATATATTCCAAGTGTTTAACAAATACTCATTAATAATAAGACATAGATACCTCAAATTTAATTAATACTATAGTGGAAACTATTTTAGACCTAATTTAACAGAGCAAATACAATATACCTAAGCTAATATATATATAAAAATTATCAGATAACCAAAATGAAAACTATGTAATAAACATATTGCTCCCCTTAGCAACCAACTTAAAAAATAAAAAGCTGTAATTTGGTATAGAAATTGAGGTAAAACTTTGATCAAAATTTACTACATAGTAATAAAGAACATGCTTACCTAGTTCAATACACGTTATACCAAGAGACCATACATCTACTTTTCCATCATACTGTCCTTCATCCATGGCTAAAATTACTTCTGGGGCCATCCTAAAAAATAAAATGTCATTTAAATTAAAGTTAAAAAAAAGTATGCTATTCTTTTAAAATGTAATGATTATCTACATGGAGAACACCTGGTGTGAATTCCAGGCAATGTATCTGAACATTAAGAATTTTTATAATATGAAATAAATGTATTACAGGTTGTGAGGTAAATATTTACCTTTGCATATATAGTGTGAGACTCATTCTCACCATGTGTCATGATCATATAACAGCATCCTAAAGGAAGGATGCCCTAGAGGAGGGCTGTATTCTGCATCCGTTCAAGTCTGCAAATTCTAATACTGTACAGCCTTTAGGCCAGTGATTCTCAAATATTTTGGTCTCAGGATCCCATCTAATTTTTGCTTGAAAGATGGAATTTTACCATTGGCATTGAATACCATCAGTTGTTTCCCCTGAAATGACAAACTCACTCCATTTATTTCGGGAAGTACCTATCACAATATCCAACGCTGAATAACCATAGCTTGTCAGCCTTTCTTTCACATTAGAATAGTGTCCCATGATAAAAGTGGCTAGGGCAGCTCACAACTAAAACAATCACAAAATTATCAACTTTATAACCAACCAACGACAGGTGTCTTGGTGATAAAATGAAACACAGGACTTCTCTGGCAGTCCAGTGGTTAAGACTCCATGCTTTCATTCATTGCAGGGGGGGGTGGCAGATTCGATCCCTGGTTGGGGAGATCCCACATGCCACTCGGCGCAGCCAAAAAAACACAAAAACCAAAACAAAAACCCCCAAAAAAAGCCTACAAAAAACGAAACACTAATTCATGTCTTCAACTAGAGTCTGTGGTTCTTGATGATACTTTATCTTACACTTCATATGTATTTGGTATTAAGCACAGATAGGTACTTAGAACAGTTGCTGACGGCTTCAATAAGATTATTACCAGGTATCCCTGTGTGTATGTTTGTGTGTGTGTGCACACGTGCATTTGTGTAAAGACATATAAATATGAACCTAGTTCCTGTGTTCCAAATACACTATATACAAATTAACCAATACGTTTACTTTATTGTAAACTTTCAACTGTCAATGTGTTAAGATGCTGAAGGAAGTTTGAGAAATTATCAAGAAAAGTTAAACAATTTGTTTTTTTATTGCAGAACTTTTGAGGCCCTTTTTAATATCTAATATTCATCATTAATATCTAAAGAGGGGAAGCACTGAGAAATATTATACACTCACAGAACCCTTTTTTATGGGGGGGACTCTATCTAAACTAGGGTTTTACATAGAAATTTTTGGTCATCTAGAGCAGTGTGGTCTTCAAATTTTTTATTCATTTATTTACCTTCAATGAATTTATAAAAACTGTGTATCCCTTGCACACTTTTAGGTTGATATGTAAATTTTATAAATTTAATAGTTGCAAAGGACATAATGCATAGTGTATGTATGTATATATTGTGTACGTGCTTTAAAGATATTAAAAACTTGGAGTTGCAGAATTAGTTCATTCAATTTATTAAAAACACTGCCCTATAATCCAGTTAGCAAAATCAGTCTTCATGGTCATATCAATCAGTCAAATCAGAATCACCTTCTGCCAGAAAAAAGTCTGAATTCAATGCAAATAACATGTTAATGTGTCCCCACGACAACCATGTCAGTTATGAATTCTGCACTAGAAAAGAAGAGAAGGAAGATAATTGGGGAGAAAGAAAAAGCAAAGGGTAAAAGGAATAGAAGGCAGATGCCTGGAAAGGTACAAGGACTTGCCAAGAGTTTTGTCCTGACTCTTCAATATATCTGACAGATGCTACATCTTCTCAAATTGTTCCTCTGGTGTTACTCTGAGGCTTTTACACCACAGAGCAATGCATCACTGTAATATTCAGGGTGGGTTAGAAGCCTTTCTTTTATGAGGCAGGAGAAGGGAGATTTGAAAGGCAGGTGAGAAAGATGACATAGTGGGCCTAAGACACAGCTCTCAGCATACATAGAAAAAGAGGATACATTTGAAAGTTGAAGATCTGGAAAATTATTCCCTTCAAACTTGCTGACATTAATAATGAATTATTTATGGATAAAATTAGATGATGTCTAGAATGTTTCAAAATAACTGAGGGGAGAGGAAGAAAGGGAGAGGTGAGTGCATAGGGCAGGACTAGCCATGGGGATAAAGTTGCTGGGCTGAATGAATGACATGTAGGGTTCATTATACTTTTGTCTAGTGTTATATTTGAAATTCTCCATAATAAAAAATAAAAACAAAAAACCCCAGAGAACTCCAAGTCCACTACCAGTCTTTAGGTACTCCTAGTCTGAAGATCAATGATATATAGTAAATATAAATCTAAAGAAAACACACACATCTCCACTTAGCATTTCTATCTTTTCCCCACTTGAATTTTTATTGAATGTTTCCACTCCCACACCCAATATATGATGCAGATAATCACAGGAAGGAAACTGTAGGGGGGACAAATTTTCAAAATGGGGGATGTAAGGGGAGCACTCCAAATCTATATTTGAAACTAACTATAATGCTTAAAGTTAAAATGTCCAAAATAACATTATATTTTCAGGAAAAAGACATCTTAAAGACGCACAACCACACACAATATCAATTATGAAGATCAAATCCAGATAAGATTATTCTTACCAATATGGCGTTCCCACAAAAGAATTGGCAGGAGATGCCATGGAAGCGGATCCAAAGTCAGCAAGTTTCACCTGGCCTGGCTCTGTCAGAAGGATATTTCCTGCTTTGATATCTCTGGGTTTAAGGAACACAGAAAATTATTTCTCTTTCCTTCACTAGGTTGTGTAAAAAAATGATAAAAATCAAGTAAAAATTTGTAAAAGAGAGAAGGAGAAATCAAAATAATTAAGTCCTAGGATAATCTCTCAATTGGGATGAGAATTAAGATCCAAATTAGAATACAAAAAATACAGAATTCATATAGAGTAACAATTTTGTAAAAGAGAAGGCAAAATAGCAGTAAAAACAAGACAGAAAATCAGGTAATTAAAGTGTATAGTTTTCTTTTGAGGTCCTGTTTATTGGTACAAATAATGGTTTTAAAAATTAAATTTAAATAGCAGTCCAATCCTTCATAATTTTAAAATTTCTGAGTAACCTACTTAATGTGTAAAAAAAAAAAAAAAAAAAAAGAATTTCATGCCCCCAATTTTTAAAAAAGGATTATTCATAACATTTCCACCCTTAGGATATGAAATGAAAACAAACATATGGATAATGTAATATCCATGATCTCAGAAAATTATGGATATTTATAAAATGGGACTGTATGTCCAACGGGCACCATAACATACACTTAACCTTTCAAAAACAGAAAAACTAAGTTTCTAAGCACTTGACAATTCTTACTATTGTAATGGACATAATACTAAATTAATCTATTTTCCTTCCATTTGTTTTTTAAAAATGAAAAGATACTTTAGGGAATTCCCTGGCGGCGCTTTTACTGCCTTGGGCCTGGGTTCAAACCCTAGTCAGGGAACTAAGATCCCACAAGCTGTGCGGTGCAAAGACCTTAGGTTATAATTCTAAATCTTCTATTCACTTACTTACTAGTATGTAAATTTCTCTTGGACCTTACAATGCTCATCTTAAAAAAAAAAAATCACATTAACTCACAATTGACTCTGCTATATAGTTTAAAATGTATTGCTTGATTCACATATATAATCAAAAAATGCTAATTTCCTTCTAAAACAGGTAAAACCAATACCAAAAATGCATTATGGAATGGCTTAATTTTACTATTCATTATCAAGGATCAACAAGGATCAATACTCAAAGCATAAAAAGTATTAAGTATCTTTTATTTATCCCTATCATGGAATAAATCTGGCATTATCAGTTACCAGGAAAACAAGATCTAGGTTTAGTTCTAGTCTAAATCCACCTGGCTTTGTAAACTTTGGGAAATTAGTCACAAATTGGGGCATCAGTTTCTTCACTGGTAAAATGAAAAAAGTAAGACTATATAATCCCTAATGTCTTTTCCATTCCCCAAATTAAATGATTCTACAATTTCAATTAAATGTGCACAAATCTATAAAGTGCACATACAGGCATACCTAAGAGATACTACAGGTTTGATTCCAGACTACCCTAACAAACAGAATACACAATAAAGCAAGTCATATGAATCTGTTGGTTTCTCAGTGCATATAAAAGTTATGTTTACACTATACTGTAGGCTACTAAGTGTGCAGTAGCATTATCTCTAAAAAAACAATGTACATACCTTAATTTTAAAATATTTTACTGCTAATAAATGGCAAAACAATCATAATGGTAACATCAAAGATCAATGATCACAGATCACCATAACAAATAAAATGATGAAAAAGTTTGAAATACTGTGAGAACTACCAAAATGTGACAGAAACACAAAGTGAGCAAATGCTGTTGGAAAAATGGCACCTAGAGTCCTGCTTGACACAGGGTTGCCACAAACCTTAAATTTGTAAAAAACGAGGTATCTGTGAAGTGCAATAAAGCAAAGCATAACAAAATGAGGTATGCCTGAACTTCGGAAAATGCAGCAACATGTGTAGACAAAGATAAAAATTATTCTAAACAAAGAGATCAAGTGTACTAGTATGTACTTTTAAACATGGACAATCTAAAAAACCTGAGTTTATAAGAAATGGTTTTATTTGGCTATAACCAACAAAACTTTCAGGGTTAATAAGTGAATAATTTAACAAGCCATTTGCTTGTTAATATATAATAATTTTCAAAGTGCTTACCTATGGATCATGGTATGAGAATGTAAGTAGGCTAATCCCTGGAGAGCACCATGTGTAATTGCTGCTATTTCCACTTCTTGTAATGGCTTTTTGTGAACTTAAAATAAGAAAGTTATTTGAAAATATTTATTATAAAGAACATTTTTGTTTAAAAATACATACCTAATATATAGGGCAATTTTTAAAAAGTAACATTTAGCAAGACGGGATTTCCTTCCAAAGATAATAAAATAATGCTATTGAACTTTACAACTAGTATACAGTTGTGCCTAGCTGTTAAAGTATATAGTCCACAGCCAATTTTCCTCTAAGCTAACAACATTAAGCAACTATTTGGTGATTACAAAAACAAAAGTAATAAATGTTCTCCCTTTATTCTAATATCTTCATTCTGAACAGAAGGAACAGATTGAGCTGAATGACAAAGATTCCAAAAAAACTTAAGTCAAAATGAGAGAAAAATCCCTTTTTTAAAAAAAAAAAAAAATCCCTTTTTTTATGTTATTACATTACATTTAATGAGGATAGTGCATACTATGCAGAGAATATAGAAAGGTTAAGATTTTTATTCTTTCTGGAAAATTTGTACATTATTTAAGAAACCTCTTATTGAATTCTCATTTTATTTTGCTAATACTATTTTTTCTTAATGATTAAAGGGAACCTACCTTCTAGTAAATCTGAAGCAGATCCTAAACAATATTCCATTACAAGCTACATGGGAAGAAAAATTATGTAAGTATTAAAATATATTATTAAAAAGATTCTACTTGAGATAAAATAAATTCACCAAGGAGATCAAGAAGACAGTTTGAAGTAAAACAAACCCTAGTCACCATTTACCTTAAAAAATGAGTATTTACGTATCTAGTAATATATTAAGTGCATATGTAAAGCTAAGCTAATGATACATTAATCTTTTACAATACCAACATATAATCATTTGTATAAGATGTGTATTTCATATATAACTATTACTAAAATTATAAAGGAATATACATATTCTGTTACTATTAATCTATAGTACTAAAGCAATACTTTAGTAATCGCTAGGAAGCAAAAAACTGTCCTTTGGAACTATATATACAAAGCTTAGGTTACAGTTAAAGCAAACACAGAGCACCTTCTATGTGCCAGATATTTTATATATATTAAAGCTAATTAAGGGACTTCCCTGGTGGCACAGTGGTTGGGACTCCACGCTCCCAATGCAGGGGGCCCGGGTTCGATCTCTGGTCAGGGAACTAGATCCCACATGCATGCAGCAGCTAAGAGTTCGCATGCCACAACTAAGGAGCCTGCCAGCCACAACTGAGGAGCCCATGAGCCACAACTAAGGAGCCCACCTGCCGAAACTAAGACCCAGTGCAACCAAATAAATAAATAAATAAATATTTTTTAAAAAAAACGAATTAAATCCTCACAACCACCTTATGAGGTAGGCCCTATTACTATCCTTATTTTACAAAGGGAGAAACATGAGAGACAGAGAGGTAATCTCCCCAATGTCACTGCTTTTTCTTTAACCACAGCCTTGTATTTAGGAGTACTGCCATCACCACCAAAATTAAACTGGATAAAAATGCACCAAACATTACAAATCTAGGTTCAGGATACTAAAATGATCATTAGCTGTGACGTATTAATTATTCAAAATAAGGGATCATTCCCATTTAAAGAAAATTTAGCCTCTCTCTTAAAAGATACAGTTATGCCCACAATGCTATAGTATTACTACCGTGTCACCTCAGTGGTAACAATGGGGCAAAATTAATCACCACTTCTTGTAACAAAGTGTCTCAATTCTCTAGCATTAGTATTATTCAGCCAAGGAATCATAATCAGTTCAAATTTCACCAGGACTCAGCAGGACTTCACCAAGATCTTTGTGGTTAAATAGATTACAATATATTTATGTCAAAGATAGGCTACATTTCATTCTCAAGTAACAGGACTGCTTTCACAATGTTTGATAAACCATTTGAAGAATGATACTACTAAAAAATGTCAGAGAACATTTTACCATGTACCATGTAATATATTATTAAAAAGATTCTACTTGAGATAAAATAAATTCACCAAGGAGATCAAGAAGAGTGTTTGAAGTAAAACAAACCCTAGTCACCATTTACCTTAAAAAATGAGTACAAGAAATGTACATAAAGGTCAGCTAAATCTCTGTAGTAAACTCGCAAAACATACATTCCCTCTCCTGCCTAGGAGTTCTAGGAAAAGCTGCTCTCCCTCTCAGAATGAACTAACATTTCAAGGTGTTTCTGCATGGCCTTACACAACCATTTTGAGACATTCTTGAAATAATTAACTCTAAACAGAAACCAACTAAAATTACAGCAAGGGGGAAGCATATACCTACCCATGCTGTGTGCTCACGTAAATAGCAGCCTTTGTATTCTATACTGTTGGGATGTTTTATTCTTTGTAGAAACTTGACTTCCTTAATAATATCCTGCCATTTCTATGGGGAGGAAAAAAATGAATAAAGGAAAAAATTATGAACAGCTGCTTTTCCTGAGAAAGTTATATAAGAAAAAAGTTATCAGATTAAGAAGGGTTACTGAGAACATAAAACTTCATTTGTAATATGTAAATATCAAAATAATAAATTAAAAAGTTATGTTCATATAGTTTATAACTCAATTATATAATTTATAAAATTATTTCATTCAAGGTAGGACAAATTTTAGTTTGGTAAAACTTATCATCAATGAGTCTTATTAAAATTTTATAACCACACACCAAACATGCTGATGAAAACTATATACCATATTTAGTGATTTTTCTTCAAAAGTTCATCTTCCCTTCTTATTTGCAGCGTTTTGATGTATAATTTACATACCATCAAGTTCATCTATTGTGTTTTTGGGTTATGTGTTCTACCAAACGTTAAAGTTTTGTTTGCTTTTTAAATTCAAATGAAGATTTAAACCCGTAAGTGCACACTTCCTAAAATAAAATGCTAGAGAACAATTAGTTATTATATGGGAAAGTTCACAGAAAAAAAAAAAGTATGAAGACATTTCC